AATCATTGACATTGAAAGAGTCATTGACTTTTTGAAAGCGTCATTGTCATTTAGAGAGTTCATTGGATTGAAATGTGAGAGCGTCATTGACATTCATTTTGTGAGTAACACGTGGCTCATGGACATTGGACATTGTCAGGGACAACCAAAGCTTTAGGCACCTTGATATCCAACATTTAACTTGTCAATGTCGACTTGGGATTTGCTACCACCAGGCTACAGTCAAAACCAACTTGACACATGAAACAACTGACATCACCTGAAACAATATCACATCTCACACAACTGCATCACAAGTGTCATTGACATCTCCTCTGGTGCCATGCCAAAGAGGAAGTATGGCCATGGCTGGGACGATGATGGCGTCGCCAGCGAGCAGGAGGCCGTGGAAGAGTTGGGCAACCTGATGCAGCTTCGCAACTCAGCTACTTGGCACCGACATTGAAGTGAGTTTGAGCGAGTCATGATGAATCATGTCAGCGTGAAAAGATGATGTTTAAGAGTTTCATTCCGCCACGTGCCCAAGGTCCTTGGTGAAGCACCTTTGGAGAGAGCGAAGTGGCCCAGCCGGGTGATGCTTCTTGGGTGGGCAGCCGATCCCAGGTGCAGCTGGGGGACGGAGAATCCGATCCAGGTGATGAATGAGATCCCCACGGAAGCGATTCATCACAACCTGGCCCAGCTCTTGAAGAAGGATCCAGCTGTTGAGTTGTTCCTTGTCAGAAGTTGTTTAAAGTCATGAATTTGATGTCATTGTCTTTAAAAGGTTTTCAATCTGACGACGTTCCTTGCAATCCAATTTTTGAATATGGCTGGACGTTCATTGCATGTCGGAAGATGACTTCAACCTGATGTCGCTGTCACTTGATGACATGTTTGTTAGTTTGTTCCGGTATGGTGACTCAGGCCGCGTGAGAAGCATCTCTCTGGCACCCGATCCATCATCCAGCGCTCTGTGGCTTGTCCTGTCATTCAGGATTTGTTCAGTCAGGTTGCGCATCAGTTCACTCATGCCATATATATTGTTGTACTGGCCGCCGTGTTCACTCATTATTCAGTTGTCAGGTCTTCCGCCACTATGCTGCCACTGAGATTGCGAAGCGGTTGTTCTTTATGCCGGGGGCGTTGATCACCATGGGCTGCAAGGCTGGATACCACCGGACGGTGACCTTCCTGGCTCTCCTTTGCTGCTGGCTCTTTGCCACTTGCATGACAAGGACAACAATGGCATGACTCACTCTGTAATTTGTTTCAAGCCAGTCAGCTTTTTGAATTGGGTTGATGTGCATGATGTCTGTGTGCGGGAAAGCACTGTTCTACCACATGAGGTCATCGGTGTCGAGTACAGTGTTTGGATCTTCAGCCTTTCGGGGGAGCGGAACTGGGACACTGACCGCCGAGAGATCCTGGAGTGGTTTTCGGAGCAAGACCCAGCTCGGAGGCACAGTGATTCAAGTCTAGACTCAGCCAAAACATTCAGTCCATGTTTGCAGCAGTATCATTGTGCCATATTGTGCCTTTTTGCTGTCTGCCAGGGAGAATCTGCGGCGCATGGCTCTTCAACGGATGGGGCTGTCGGTTGAAAGGTGGAACAATATCCAAGTGAAGGCATTGCGCACCTTCTACCATTGCACCAACATGTGGCCTTTTGAGCTTCTTGGCATTGTCATTGAGTGGATTAAGTAAATAAGTTTGTTGAGCCAATAATATCACTGGTCATGGTTGATTCCTATTAGCTCCTCACTCGAACTGAACTTGCGGCGCTCAGGCTTCTCAGGCCTCGGCCACTTCCTCGTGAACTGCCTCGACCCTGGCGAGTTCTACCGCCGCCACCGCCGCCCCCACCTCCTTTTCCACCACTGCCGCCAAGTGGGTCACCGGCTGCTGAACTTGATTTCATGGCTTCTCCCTCACAGGATGCCCAACTGGAGAGCCTGCTGATACTTGAGCCCAACTGTGACCCAAGAACAATGTGGTAAGATAATAAGTTGCACTGTTAAACACTGTGTCATTGACTTCACTTGTTTATGACTGCGTGTTCTGTGTCAATGACTGTGCTCTTCAGACGTCATGTTTCTTGTCAATGGCATCACTTTTACCAGTCAAAGACTTTCTTATACACTTGGAGCTCTGAGCCTGAGGTATGATGGTCATGACATGTTTATTTTGATCTGTGAGTCTGAGGAATGAGATCTTTCGATCATTGCCTGTGAACCTGCATGGCTTTATCATGGTGCTGCCACTGGCGCGGGTGCTGAGATTTGTGCCTATGGTGTGGAGGCAGAACTACACCAACACGTATGAGAACCGCTTCCATCGGTACCTCACCCACTGCTTGTGCTGTGACGTGGCATCCTTGGCTGGAGACTAGCAGCTTGGATGAAATTGTTCATTTGTTCTTGCCACTGTCATTTATGTGTTTTGTATGACTGTATGTCTCAGTCAGCGACAATTGCATTGGATCTCATAGCGCTCTGAAGGTGTCAAACATTGATATGGTGACCGGCTTGAGTATAAAATGCGTGCTGGCCATCCATGTGGTTTGCAAATTTGTTATGTCATTGTCCATTGTGAACGATTGTCAACGACTCAGCTTAAACGTCAATGACTTAGATGACACTGCCAAGTCAATGACTTACATGTCAGAGTGCGGCCACTGTCAATGACTTAGAGTCAATGACACTGTCAATGACTTAGATAAGATAAATAATAAGTTTGCTGTTTATGTGTAATGGTAACGGCTCAAGTTTGAGATGTGAAAGCCCTTCCATTTCTTGACCTGGTAGCATGTCCAGTTCAGGCTCTCTGCCTGCTGATTCTGTAGCAATGGACATCCTTGACCAACAAGGAAAAGACGTGGTTGAATTTCGCCAGTTGAGCAGGCCCCTGATTGCAAATTGCTTGACTGACAACATGTCCCTGTTTTGTGCAAGCGTGCAGCTGTTTCCAACATGTCCCAACAGGACGGCAGCTCAAGCATTGGGCCTCATCAAGATCTGCTTCCCAGACGACTATGCCGATGTCTGCAACTTCTTGGCGGGCTCTAGATCTGAAGGTGTGCCTGACATGGTTGAACATTTTGTGGAAAGCGATGCGTGACTTCATTGTCATTCATTGTCATTAATTGTCATTCGATGCATGACTTCAAACGTAGGCATTCGCAACTACTCTGGGTGGGTGATTGGAGCCTTCCGGCGCAAAGTTGAAGAGTGCAACACTCAGAATGAGCAAGGAGCACAAACACAATGACATATGAGCAGTGCCACGCATAGCATTAATCCTTTGAAGGTTCTGTGAAGTGACTGTTGGTTGACATCCTTCCCCCTTCCCCGGCCCAGGAAGAACAGAGAGCTGAACTTGCCGACCAGAGACCTTCACTGAGCCGGCCAAAGGAGAGAAAAAATGATCGTCCGCGGCGGCGACTTGCAACTTTCACTGTCCCTAGTGTCTCAATGAGAGTGCCATTGACCCAGTCGATATTGAGGAGGTTTGACCGGTGACACTTTCACTGTCGCACATGGTTTTCCAGCACAGACTGCAGTTGTGTGTGTGACATCTGTCAGTCTTGGCCATTCATTTTGAGCAAACCGCCGCCTGAGGTTCATCTTCTTGATCCTGTATGGCCCTTGGAAAACTGATGTGTTTTGTTTAGTTCATGTCTTGAAGTGTCCCTTGGTTTCAGCATTTGTTAGTTTAATACTGTGCGTGGCTTGAAAGAAAATCTTTGGCTAAACGGAGTTGACAAAAACAACCTGTGATGAACCAGGATGGTCCTTGCATTATTCAATTGAAAAGTTATCTGTCAGTGACTTTATTTACATTGTTGTAAACTTGTCATTGACTCAGAGTGTACATCAGTGTTTGCCTTTTTGACTGCCGCCTAGGTGCATACTCTTGACGGTTTCGCCAGGGCAGACTTCAATCTACTTGTCAATGACACCACTTATCTAGTCAATGTTTGTGGAAATAGATATGGAAAAATCACATAGAAGCTGCATAACCTCAGTCACTGTCACATTATATACAACTAAACAGCTTGGGGCCCAAATATAAAACCATTACAGTGCATGTGAGTGACTTTGCGCTTTGTCACTGACACTGGATATATGTTTGCAAGTCAATGTCATTTTGATGCCAGGTACCCACCTTGGACTACTCCACCACCTTCTGAGAACCGGTAGCTCGGGCAACTGCACATGGGCGTGGGACGTCATGGAAAACAGTGGAAAACAATCTATTCTTTCGATCTTAGATCCTAGGGGCTTGCTAAAGCTGGAAACATTCATTGTCATTTCATTGTCATAGAGCTCGACTGATAGTTTAAAGGTGAAACTGCTGTCTAAGCTATTCCTCGCATTGATGTGGATGAGTTTGAGAGCTGTCAATGACAAGTGTCACCACCAGAATCTGTGAGTCAGTGACTGGGTTTCGTTTGCTTCAGAGCCATGTCATGGATCACCACCTGATAAGACCAGATAAAGTTAAGACCCTACAAAAATCAGTGACAGTATTTCAAGCTATAGACTAGACATTGACTAATGGCAATAACAATGAGTGTCAATGACCACTAACTAGATCCCCCTTGGCATCATTTCCTGATTCCCATCGAGAGCGGTGGGTACCTGTGCGCCCGGCATGTTTTGGCAAAACACCTGCACCTGAAGTTGCAGTTGTCCTCAACCTGTTTGCACACTGAAGCTACTATGGCCTTCTTCCATGTTTCTGATCAAGGATGGTCAAGATGCTTTTCCGTCTCTTGACAATGACAAGTCAATGACAATGAGTTGTGTCACTGGGAACCCAAGCCATGTCAGTTGAGTATTATTTTTGTAATGCCCTCCGTTCAGATGCAACCCGACGCCAAAAAGACATGGAAGCGTTGGTGCCGACAGTTCCTCTGGCTGCGAGGGAGCTACAAGGTTGCCAAGTGTGCCACTTGCAGTGACTTCTCTTGCAAAGTTCCAAAGAAGTCACAGCTGGCCCAACATGAAAAATGCAAGGTGCACTTGGCGAAAGGTCAAATGTGTCCTTCGGCCAGCGACTTTGACAAGATGCTTAGTGAACGGATGCAAGGAACGTCGCTAAGGAAATCTTCTTTTGGTTCCTTCAAGGCGACCAAAATGTTGTTTTGTCTCAATGAGGCAGTGAAAGACTTGTTGAAAAAACGTGTCAAGAAGCTGATCACTGCGTCCATCTCTCAAGATGGCCAAGGAGCCACAGTAGGAATCCGGATGTGCCTTGTCAGTCATGATGATGGAAACTTGGGCTCTGTTTGAACTGCCTTGTCTTTGGTTCAATGTTTAACCAGCTTGATTGTGTTCGCGTTTCTTTGTATCAGGACAGTGACCCCACAACGACCAATCAATAATAAGCATCAATTCAATTCCTTGCCAAGGGCTTTCCCTTTTTGATTTCCAAGGACAGGAAGGTGGGATCTTGGCAACTTCCAGTGTTCTGGCTTTCCTGAAAAGGGAACTGTCTGGATCCCACAACTTGTCCAAAGCTTCGATGAAGGCTTTGAGACGCTTCTTTACCTCAAGGCTGAGCCCTGTGCGTGGATGGTGTGGCCGGGGGCCCTTCTTGGATCGCGCTTTGATGAAAAAGTTTAGCACTGCTGTTGAAACTTGGACCTGTGAACAAAGGTGTCGTGACAAGCTGTGTTCCCTAGAACTTTTGAACTGGATCGTAACTAACTTTAACTGTTCTTGACTCCAAGGAATTCTTTGGGTCCGATGCAGCTCCGGATGAAATCAAAGCTGGACGTCTTACCAAGAAAAACCTATTCAAGAACCTCAGGGTGCCAATTCGTGACCCAGCGCACGCTGCTGGCAGGTAATTTGGTTCAACCAGATGTGTGGTTTCCTTTGCAAATCATGGACCCCTGACCGTTCAAAGCTCACGTGTTGTTCTTGATTGAGGTTGACGCAGAAATGGAACAGTGTACCCATGCTGAAGCAGACATGGCACCGGCTGATCTGGAGTTCCAAGTCCATCATTTCAGTGATCTATCATTCTCCTCAAAATGCAAGGATTTTTCGCAAATATGCTGCTGGGCTTGGACATGCTTGTCGGGGTCAATGACTGTAGCTGTGTCACTTCTGGATTGGGTTGCATTCTTCAAACACTGTTTTTGTCAGTGACCTGTTCAGGAAATAGTTTAATTTATTGTCCATGATTGCGTGCCAGGTGAAGGAAGAATCAAACAAGCATTGGAGAACCAGGAATCTTTCGTTTGCCAAGCATCGACACAGCAGTGTCCTCAAACCAGCAGCGAGATTTGTTCTCCATACATCAGCCATTGTGCACAGTGCAATGGAGTGCCTGGCCTTTGAGAGTTGAAGTGACTGCACACAATGTCAATGACAGTCGAGAAGTCAATGACTTTGGTAATGAGTCCTCGTTGTTTTTGCTTTGGTCATTGACCACCCTAGGATTCTGGAGCGCCGAACTCAACCGAAGGTTAAGGCCAATGTGACAGCGTTTCTAGAGAACCTAACAGCTGAGTCGGTGCTTCAATGCGCCATGATGTGTGATGCGGCTCAGGAAGAACTTGACTTGAGTCTCGATAGACAAACCATGCTGTTTCTCTGTCACTGCATTTTGTGTGTCAATTTGTGTATCAAGTGAGTGTAGAAATCACTTTTGCCTCGAGGATCAGGTTCAATGACAAGAACACGGTGGATGTGGCCCAACTGCGTGCTCAACTGGATGGCTTCATGAACAGGGTCTCTGCATTGTTTCTTCAAAGAAGGGCCCATCAGGTTCATTCCTACACACAACATGCTCCCCAGCTAAACACTGACTTTGACTGGACTCAGTTCATCATCAATGATGTGCGTTTTTCTGTCATGCCTTTCCGTGGAGTGGCAAACCATCAAATGTCATCAAATGGCTCAGGCTGTGGAGTGGCTCCAGAAGGAGACAGTCATCAGGATTGGGCAAACCTTCCGGTCAATTGGAGGCGCTGACGTGGTTACACCACAGCTCTTGGCTGACTGCTATGAGCGCATGTCTCAATGGGTGGTTTTGGCTAGGGAGGCCTTGAACACCGAGTGGCCTTCCTTCGAGGCAATCAGGGCGTTCAGCGTGTTTCAACTCCGGCCAAAGTTGGAAGCCACTGTGGTGAAGAAGGATCTTTCCAAGATCTGCACGATCTTCGGTGAGCCCCAAACGTTGCCATGTCTGGTCCGCAGCTACACTGACTGTGCATATACTGCTTCTAAGAAAAGCGCCTGGGATTAAACTGACTTGGTGATTTGACAGTGTGAGTGGTCAATGACTCCTCAAATGTGTTTGTTCAGCCATTGACAACGTTGGAGGAGATCGGATTGCTGACGAGGATGACATCCCTGACCTCGAGGCATGGTTGAGTACCCTGCGTGGCCAACGGGCTTCGGACAACCCTCACCTTCTGACATGTCTGGCCCGCGCTCTATGCTTGTCCAAGTCTTCGACCTCATCCTGTGAGAGGGACTTTGGCAATCTGATCCAGACATTTCGCAAGGTGTTGGCCAGTCCTCTCCTCAAAGAATGGCACATAAGAGTGACTAGCTTCCTGAGGACAGAAGCAAGCAAAGCTCCTGAAGTTGTCAGAAGGGCCCCAAAACATATGGAATGAAGGATACCTGGCACCTCGCTTGGCTGGCCCTTCGCGTGGTGGAAACTTTGTTTCCGGCGTCAAGCTCCAAATGAAGAGACAAGCTTCTCCGCAGGGTCAACAATCTGATTTCAAACCATGGGGAGTAGTCAGTCAGCCAGTCAGTCATTGTCATCAAATGCGAGTAGACCTGTTTGACGAACCAAGGCTGCAAACCCTCTTGACAGTCAGGCCGCATGGGTCAAACGGCGTCGCTTGGAGGTGAACAAAATTGCCCCCACAAGTTCACCGGAAGTGCAACCTGGTGATTTGCCTGCTGAAGCCAAGAAAGCCATCCAAAGAATGGGAAACGTAGTCACCTGTTTGAATTGAGGTTTCACAAATTATGTATTAGTTGCTGTCACTACTATCCTTGAGTTTCATTCAGTCTTTGAGTTTCAGTTGCAACAGGTGAAGAAGCGTCGCTTCGAAGCCCAGTCCATTGGCATTTTGCAGAAGGATGAAAAAACTGCCTGAGGATGAATACCAGCAGCTCTTGAAGCCGTGGGCTGAGCCTGAAACGTTACCATGAATTTCACCCCCAGTCCTGCT